AAGTAAGGACCCTAACCCTAAACCCCTAAATCCCTAAACCCTAAACCCCTAAACCCCTAAACCCTGAACCCTAAACCCCTAAACCCTAAACCCTAAACCCTTAAACCCTAAATCCTAAAGCCCTCAACCCGTAACCCTAAAGCCCGAAGACTCCGAGCCCTTCAGCCCAAAACTGGAGACGCTTTAGGCACTGGTTGCTCGAGAGAACCTGCCGCTGCCGACGCCGCCGTCCTCTATGGCCCTGAGGCTACTCCGGTTGATGATATAAAACCCTACAGGGTTCCTTTAAAGGGATCTATAAGGGTACCTTTAAGTGACCTATAGGGATTTGGGAGTTTCCTAAACTTAGGGGTACCTTATTTTGGGGTCCATATAATAAGGATCCTACTATCTAGGGTACTAGATTAGGGTCCCCTAGGCTACTCTAGGGTTCCTCCAAAGGGATGTATAAGGGTACCTTTAAGGGGCGCCGTTAAGGGATCTATAGGGCTTAGGGTTTTGGGTTGATGTTACAAATCCTGCATTACCCATTATAAGGTATATACCATAATTCCCATAGTTTAGGGTCCTTAAGGTAAGGCAGGATTTATGCAATCAACAGTCCGTGTGGTTTGGTTTTCATAGGCTCTTCTATGTGTTCTTGTACACATGGGAGTGTCTGTAAGGTTGAGGGTTTCGGGGCAGGGTCCGCTCGAGAACGCTGTCTGACGCTTTTACATGAACTTGCGGTGCTTCCGTGTTTTTGAGGGCCGGTGCGGAAGGTTTCGAGCTGTGAGGCGTTGTTCGAGCTGGATTGCTTCTCCGGGGAATGCTCGGGGATGCGTCACGTGTAGTCCGGGACAAGGTTGGCGATAGTGGATTTTGTTCTTGGGGCTTAGGCTCGCTAGCCGAGGCCCTGAACCCTCAACCCCATACCCTCAACCCTACTTCAACCTACCAAAACCTACAAAAAAGTAGAGCCCCTCTAAATTTCATATTAGGCTTTATGATCTTAAGGTAGCCATGAACCCTTAAGCCCAGAGCTCCACCTTATCCCAGTTAAGCTTCACGCCCGAAACCTAAATCCGTATCCTTGTCAGTCATGATGTGTTGTCAACTTACTTGAGCTCTAAGCCTGTCGAACACCAAAGCCAAGAAATTCCGAATTTGAGCCCTAAAGCTCTTAAGCCCTAGGCCCCAAAACCGAAACCTCGCCTTGCAAAGCTCTAAGGCCCTCAAGCCTTAATTTATCTTAGGTACCCAAAAAGGACATAAGCATAAGCATGTTATAGGGATATCCCTGGGCTACATTTTAAGGGGGTCTATATGGGATATCCCGATCCTAGTTTTTGCTTATGTGCTTTTTTGGGGCCCTATAACCATGCGAGGATGCTCTTCGACCACTATGACCCGATGAATGCACAGCTTTACGGCTTGTCCGGCATGCTTTCCAGCTTTTGACGCGAGCTTCTGGTTGTAACGGTTGATGATCTAAATCCTGCATGACCCATCATAAGGAATATACCATAATTCCATAGTTTAGGGTCCTTAAGGTAATGCAGGATATATATCATCAACAGTTCTGGTTGTAAGCATGGGAGCTTCTCTCTTTATGTTGGGCTTCAGTTTACATACACTAGGATGCCCAGTAGTACCCTTATTCCCTTTTTGTAGTCCTAGGTTCCTTATAAAGTTACCCAATACCAAAAAGAGAGGCCTTTTTATTCTTAGGTTACTGGGTATCCTAGTACAGGTTTGGGCAAGCTTCTGGGCGGGTACCTAAACCCTCAGGGCGCAGGGTGCACGGGGCCTTCCGAAAAAAGGAGAGTTTCAGGTTTCCGGGTTGGGGCGTTGGGGAGTGTGGCTTCGGATGTAGGGATTAGGGTTCTCGGTGTAATAGGGTTTAGGGATTCGGGATTTGAGGGTTCAGGGTTTATGGTTTAACCCTAAGCCCTAAACCCTAAACCGTGGCTAGCCCTAAACCCTAAACCGTGGCTAACCCTAAACCGTAAACCCTAAACCCTAAACCCAGTTTAGTGTTTAGGGACTCGAAACTCCAAACCCCTCAGCCCTGACATCCAAAAGCCGACAAGCAAAACGCTGAAACAACCAAAACGTTTTTTTTTTTTTTTTTGAACGGCCCTTTTCCTCCTTCGGTTTAGAGTTTAGGGTTCAGGGCCCACAAAGCAAAAAAACTACACACACCAAGAGAAGTATCCTGAGCCCTCTAAGCCCGAAAGGCCCCTCTCCTTTTTAAGAAGAAGCCTTAAACCCTAAACCCGAAGAAGCCAGAACATCGCCAGGCACCGGGAATTTCAAGTCTTTCGAGCAATTTCAGACCGAGCTCGCTTCGGGAACGAGTTTGCTGGCGGGGGCCTCGGTGTCTTTTCTTTTTCTTTTTTGTTGAAGTAGGCTTTCGTGTTGGGTTCTAGGGCTTAGGGCTAGAGGGTTTAGGGTTATAGGGTTTAGGGCTATAGGGCATTGGGTTATAGGGTTTAGGGTTATAGGGTTTTGGGCTATAGGGTTCTAGGGTTTCAGGTTTCGGGCCTGGGGTTTTTAGGACTGAGGGTTGCGAGGGTGTCCTTTGTTGAAACACCGAAGCCGACTGGCCGGTTTCCTAAGCCCAACTGGGACATTTCCGAACCTTAGGGGGGTACCTTAGGGTTCCTTTAAAGGGAGGCATACTAGAAGGGTACTGCAGGGGTTCCTATAGGGGTTTAGGGTGTTTCCGAAAATTGGGGGTGCCGTATTTGGGGGGGTCCTTATGATAAGGATCCTGCGACTAGGGTACTATATTAGGGTCCCCTGTCTTCGGAAACTCCCACATGCCCAAGTACCTCCAATGCTGATTCTGATTCTAGGACCCTGCACCCTGACACACTGACACCCTAAGGACCCAAGGCCCCTAGTACCCTAATATCCCAATACCCCGAAGCCCTAAACCCTAAGTCCTAAATGCCCTAAGGCCCTAGCCTAGACCCCCCAACTACCCTCCATTCTACCCCAAATAGACCCTTGAGGGGTCTTGGAGTATCCTAATACCAAGAGAATGAGGGTGTCTTTTCTGTTTACAGGCCTACTTAGGCGAGAACAGACCTTCGCGGAGAGAAAGTCCGCTGCCCTTGAAAAACACCCTAATACCCAGTACCTTGCCCAAATGCTCTAAACCCCTTAACACCCTAATACTATAGAACTTTAAATAACTGCCAATATCATTCCTTAGGGTACCTTTTTACAACTATACTATACAGGAGCATCAAACCCTATTCGAATTACTAAGGCCCCTATATTACCCTGAGCCGCCTGCACTGAGATCAGGTCCGCTCCCCAAAGGGAGGACTACAGCGCTTTTGCTAGCCGGTAATCCTCCAACTGAGGTTTCGAGGCCTCTGGGCGTCTTTGGGTTTTCGGGGGTCCCAGGTTTGAGGGCCTTATTAAGGGCTCCTTTAAGGTTTCCTTTAGGGGTTCCTTCAAGGGTTCCTTTTTGGGGTTCAGGGTTTAGGGATCCGGGTTGGGGAGGTGGGGTTGAGGCGTAGGGTTTTTAGGGTCTTGAGGGTGGAGTGCTGCGGGATTTACGGCTATACAGGGGTTTTGGGGTTAAAGGTTTACGGGTTTACAGTTATAGAAGTGCTTTGAGTTTAAGGGGCTTCAGTGGGACTGTAGGCGTCTGGGATTCAGAGTTGGGACGTTTATGGTTCAAGGATTCTCCGGCTTACGCATGCCATTGTGAATACGGTTGATGAGCACAACCCAGTGTTGTCCGCACAAGCTACTTGGTAACACATGTATATATACCATAATTCATAGTATTGGGTGTCTAGAGAAATGCAGGAGTTGGCCCATCCACAGAATGATCCGCTATCGGTGTTTCACCTCTTACGTCTCAAGTGGCTACTTGGTTTAGCAGCGTTCTTGCTGGTACTTTTAGTCTCACGGAGTACACTTGCCCTCTAAACCCTACACCCTAAACCTACTTTCATGTCACAGGTTGCGGTGCAGGTTTGAGGTTGTCTTGTGAGTGCAGAGGCTGTCTATCGGATTGTTGGAAGCGCCTACATAGGGCAGTGTCGTTTTGGACGTTTTTTCATTACAGAGTCAGAGGTGGACATTAAACTACCGCCTTTGCATCTAGGATTTCGGGGTTTTGAAGCTGAACCTCGCAGTACCCCCGCCGCAGTACATGTGACGCATACTTCCGTCGTGCTTCAGCTCAGACAGCTCAAAGAAGCAAAGTGAACTCCAGAAAGACCAGTCTACAGTAAACCCCATGGAGTTGGAAACCGGATTAAGGCCGCAAAGTGCTGGGATTCCCACATTACTCTGAAGGATTGAGGCATTCGGGTTTCCAACTTTCGGGCTTCTGCTCTAGATTGTCGTGCAGGACTCAAAGCTGCATACCTTACCCATGACAATTAGGGAAGCCCTGGAACAACCTCTGTTTCCCTATCCCCGGACCAACAAGAGAGCTTCTTGGGCTCGGATGTCGCTATAGGGTTCGTTTCGCTGCCGTCGTTGTAGATGCAGTGCATGAAAGGTCCCTCTTGACTCTATCATGCAGTTCTCTGGTGCTTAGGGTGTGGTGCCTAAGGTAGTTTTGCTGCTTTACTCTTACTGCTATGCCTGCCATGACAACTATCCGAGAGTTCTGCTCCTACAAGTCATGGTGTTCCTACCATCATCAGCACGTCAGCTCGGGTTTCCATCATGACAAGCACCATTGTCAAGGAATTTGTTTTGAGCTACCATAACAGGGATATAGAAAGGTTCCTTTAAGGGATCAATTCCTTTGAGGGATCTCTAAGATTTCCTGTAAGGATGGCACCCTAAACCCTAAAGCCTAAATCCTAAGCCCTAATGCCTATAAATCCTTAACCCGAAATCCTAAACCATAAACCCTAATACCCTCAACCCCTAAACCCTAAACCCCATAGATCCCTTTAAGGAACCCTATAGATCCCTTTCAGGAGCCCCTTGAGAACCCTTACTAAGTCCCCGGCCCTTTCCAAGTAATCCCCGAAACCATGGCGTGTAGCCGGGCCATGCTCCGACTTTGCTGCCTGGGACTGGGACTCATGAGTTTCGCGGCCTGGGATGCCGAGTCTGGGTGTTGTTAAGGAACTTCAGGTTTAGGGTTTAAGGTTTAGGGTTTAGGGTAAGTTACCATATTTTAGGGTTCCGTTTAAGGGTTCTATAAGGGTTTTTGTCAAGGAACTTAATTCAAGTTACCAAAATAGTAGGGGTCAATAGTAAATAATACGGTTTCTTTATTTGTTTCAGCTTGAATTAAATCCCTAAGCCTTTACAGTAGCCCTTATAGATCCCTTAAACCGAACCCCTCATAGATCCCTTCTTGAAGGATCATGGGACTTAGTAACTAGGGTTATAGATAAGGTAACTATACTTATAACTACGTATAAACCCAATTAAGCTACTTATAACCTTACTTACTAAGTCCCATGATCCTCCAAGTAGTCCTAATTTTCGGAAACCCTAAACCCTTTATAGAACCCTTATAGATCCCTTCAAAGGAACCCTGATAAATCCCTTATAGATCCCTTAAACGGAACCCCTCATAGATCCCTTAAAGGAACACTTACAGAACCCTTAAAGGAACCCTCATAGATCCCTTAAAAGGAACCCTCATAGATCCCCGAAAGGAACCCTCATAGATCCCTTCAAAGGAACCCTCATAAATCCCTTAAACGGAACCCTCTCCCTCAACAAGCCCTCAGGGTCCAAGTACCCAAATAGTAGGGTTTCAAGGACCAAAAACCATTCAGAGTATGGATTTTGGTCCCTGAAACCCTACTATTTGGGTACTTGCGACCCTCTGGGGTCTAGGAACCCTTGTAGATCCCTTTACAAGAACCCTTAAAAGGAACCCCTTAGAGATCCCTTAAAGGAACCCCTTGTGGATCCCTTAAAGGAACCCTTATAGATCCCTTATAGATCCCTTGAATAGGAACCCTTATAGATCCCTTAAAGGAACCCCTTGTAGATCCCTTAGCAAGAACCCAGGACTTCCTCGTCTCTCGGCCCTCGGCGTTTCCGGCGCCTGGAGCTGCCGGCGAGGGCCGCGTTTGCAGGAAACCTGGGGCCCTTCGAAGGGCCTTTCCCCTAGAGAAGCTGCTCGGCCAGCGTACTTGGGGTCGAATATTCTAATAGTATATATATATATATATATAGATATATGTATATATATATGTATAAATATAGTAATATGTGTATATATATATATATATATTCATATTTACATATTGGGTTTAGGATTTAGGGTCTAGAGCCTTCGTACTTAAGGGATCATGGGACTTATATAGTATAAGGTTTCAGGCCTTCGTACTTAGAATCCTTGGCGCGCATACAGCAACTCTAGGTCCATTGTTAGGGTTACTAATGCTTATAATTTCGGTCGTAGGAACACGGGACATCATGGGACTTTTATAGCTACTAGGCTACTTTTAGGGTTACTGATGCTTGTGATTGCTTATCACGCCCCAATTTGAGTTCTGTGGTCTGATTTTTTTCACCGGAGAGCATTGGCACCAACAAAGACAGCAATCTACATCTTAACATTGCCTGAAGCGTTCAGGGCTGTGATGTTTTGCGCCCGGGTTTTTTTCGCGGAGCAAAACCCTAAACCCTAAACCCCTAAAGCCCTAAACCCAAAACCCTGAGGCCTGAGGCCTCTAGTCTCTGGCCTGGCCTTGAGGCATAGGGACCCCCTGGGTAGTAGGTAGGGGGGAAGGGGGTAAGGGACTATACTTCCTTAAATAGGCCTTATCACGTCCTCATTATAGGTACCCTAAGGGTCCCTATGAACCGAGGCTGGTTTCGGCGAAGAAGCGCAAGCGACTTGCATCACTGGGTACATCCAGTGTATTGAGCCTTGGTAGCTGAACGGCTGCCGTTATATTTTTATGGAGGATAGCATCCCCTATAAGTCTTATAAAGCTGAACCTTTACACTCTTTTGGGCATATGAGCTCAGTACCTAAGGAGCTACCTGCTTCTTAAGTTCCTGAAGCACGCCATCATCAACGCGGTGGCTTGGTATCTGACGGCGAAGAGGCTCGGGGGTTGTTGCGGGAATCGGGGCAGCCATCCGTACTTGGAGGTTCATGGGACTTAGTAAGTCAGGTTATAAGTACCTTAAGTGGGTGTATAAGTGGTTTGAAGTATAGTTACCTTATTCTAACCCCCAGTTAATTACCTAATTACTAAGACCCATGATCCTTCAAGTATGATATAAATCCTGCATTACCTTAAGGACCCTAAACTCTGGGAATTATGTTTTAGTTTTTATGATGGGTGATGCAGGATTTATATCATCGACCGTAGGAGGAGCACTCCAAGTTCTCAAGCCTGACAAGCTCCAAGGAGGTAATATAGGCTGGCATTAATAATTCCCCATTTCGTGGGTTCCTTATTATGAATACCATTCTAACTATTAAGGCCCCTAATTTTAGAAATCATGTTCAAGCCTCATGACAGGGGTTGTTGCAGTTGTAGCAACTCTTGAGGTACTACTGATAGTAGTTCTCAGTACAGCAGTCGTGGTCGTCGTCGTCCTCGTCGTCATAATAGCCGGGCAATCACAGCGGCACAGCACCTCACGACCTCCCTGAGAGTAGGTTGGGCGTGTCGCCCTTGCAGAAGTGGCCAACCTTCTTGGCCACCTATGCAGCCGTCTATGTCGCCAGCACGCCGCTGCAGCCCGCGAAGTGGGCTGTTCAAAATCTGGGCTTACAGCTCAATACTCTGCAAAACCGAGAAACACCCATTCCCAAATCCTAAACCCCCAGCCCTAAACCATATAATCTCCAACCTCTAAGCCCCAAGTCACGCTTCTCGAGACACAGTGAAAAGACATACAGTTTGATTTATGCAGAACACTAAAACCATAATTTGGAGAGTTATCCAAAAGGTGGGCCGTAATCGTGGCGATGAGCCCGGTCTTGGATCGCACGATGGAGAAGATCTCTGACCGAATGGGCTGGCAAGCTGGCGATTAAATTCGGGTATAGGGTTTAGGTCCTAGGGTTTACGGTCTAGGCTTCTGTGCATGTGTGTATGTATGTATGTATGTATGCATGTATGTATGTATGTTTGTTTGTATGTATGTATGTATGCATGCATGCATGCATGCCTGTATGTATGTATGTATGTATGTATGTATGTATGTATGTATGCATGTATTTGTTTTCACTTGAGAGTGGTTGTCCGTGTCCATGCCTATGTGTTTTCTGAGAGGGTTGGGTGACTAAAGTTCGGGCGTAGCATCGAACCAGGAATGTGTCCACAGGCCTAAACTTTAGCACCTTCTTTCGGAAGCCTTGTGCCAAAATCGTCAAGAAACAGTGCACTTGAACTCCAACCTCGGATCCTGAAGTCCCATAGACCACCAAACCCCTACATGCCATACACCCTGAACCCTAAACCCCTAAACCCCACAAGCCCTGAACCTAAACCCCGAACCCGAACCTCAGGTCCAAACAAACGACAGCAGGGGCGATCCTGCTGGGTATTTCTGCGCTGGGTGCCAGCGTGTGGATGCTGGGCGTCCTGGTCGCCGGAAGCTTGGCGCGAGTGAGCATCTGGTAATACCAGGACCCCTCAAGGGCCCTTTAATAGGAGGGTAGATGGCGGGTCAAGGTATTATAGAAGCCTGAATTATCACTAGTGGTATTTTCCGGGTTGCTTATGAGACTTATAAACTTAAAGGATAATATACCCCAAGGCCCTATTCTAGATTCTAGTTGTTCTTGCCCCTTCATGACGAATCCTGAATTGAAGTTCTGAGTTCGACACTCCAAGGCCTACACCCTCCCTGAACACGAACCCTAAATTCAGTCGGGGTGATAGTGCTAGAACCCCAGCACCCTAGTTGAACCCTCAAAAGCAGCCTACACCCTAAATCATGGCGATTTTCGGCACTGCTGCAGTGCAGGGTGAAAAGGGGCTTCCAAGCGAGACAATTGAATCCCAAACCTTCTCAATGCCTCACACAGCTGACGCTTGCGCCTGCTCATGGCAAAAGGGCGCTGGAAGTTTCGAAGACATGCATAGACATCTGACAAGTTTGTCCACACATCCTTATGACTAGCACTACAGGTAGTTTGCTATTGTCTGTATGATTTGCCAACATTATGTCTATGAAAACGCTTATGTGTATGATCATGATTTGATGGTTAGTCTTATCCTTCTAGAGTATATACTCCCAAGGCTGCATTCTAAGTTTTGAGGCCCAGATGAGGCTCAAGGAGCAGAGCTCAGGGATCCGGAGCAAGGTCTTGGTGTTGGTTTTAGGGTTTAGGGGTTTAGGGTTTAGGGCAGTTTAGGGAGTTTAAGTTTAGGGTTTAGGGATCAGGGTCGTGCTCTTCCCTGCTTTCGAGGGCTTCGGGGGAAGTTTGGGGGTTAGCAAAAGGGGCCTTCATAGTTAGCACGGCTCTTGTTGACGGTGGTATTTTGCTAAAACATGTTTACAAGGCCATAACAGGGTACCATTCCCAACTCTTCCCCCTAAACCCTACAGTAAGCCCTAAGCCGTGTCTCCCAGAGCCCAGTCTAAATCTGCAGCGCCAAACCATCACCCCTGACCTCCGCGCTCTAAACCCGTACCCTGAACCGTCTACGTACCCTGAGCCTTACTTACAGGCTCATGGGACTTAGTAAGTAAGGTTATAAGTTATAAGGAGGTTATAAGTCGGAGAACCCCACTTAGGGGACTCATAACCCGAATTATAACCTACTTACTAAGTCCCATGATCCTTTAAGTAGCCTAAACTACCCCTTATAGAACCCCTATATAGATCCCCTTAAAGGAGCCTGTTAAAGGAACCCTACCTTACTAAGTCCCATGATCCTTTAAGTCAACATGGAACCCCTGAGGCCTCCAGAGGCGGGCTCTGGACCCGTAGCGGCATGCGGAGAAAGGATTATTGCACTAACTAGGATGCCCAGTAGTACCCTTATTCCCTTTTTGTAGTCCTAGGTTCCTTATAAAGTTACCCAATACCAAAAAGAGAGGCCTTTTTATTCTTAGGTTACTGGGTATCCTAGCTAAAAAGAAACATGAAACCCAACAGCCCTTGAAACTCAGAGGACCCCAGCTCACCGAAAAGATGGAGCCCTACACCCCAAACTCTAAACCCTGAGCCTTAATCCCTAAACCCTGAGCACCTGAGCCCTAAACCCTGAGCACTTGTGCCCTAAACTCTAAACCCAAGACCCGTAAAGCCTGAACCCTAAGCCCTGAACCCTAAGCAAGTGAATGCAGGCTGCGTCTTGATGAAGATGGGTGAGAGTCGACAGGGTTCGGATGTCGGGCCCCTGAGTATTTGCCGGTATCTTTAAGGGCTCATAAGGTCTTTTTCCAAGGGCAATGTAGACAACAGTGCCAGAGCTCATAAGGGCTTAGGGTTTGGGGTTTAGGTAAAGTTCAGGGGTCATGAGCCGGGTTCCTTCAGGGCTCTTTAAGGGCTTAGGGTTTAGGGGTTCAGGGTTTAGAGTTTAGGGATGCTTAGGGCTTTCAGGGCTCATTAGGGGTTTGTAGGGTTCGTCAAGGGCTCTATCAGGGCTCCATGGTGAGATTTTTGGGATTAGGGCTTGGTGTTTATATGTTTTCAGGGTTTGAGTTACGTGTCAGGAGTCGACAGCAAAGCCTAGAGATCCTGTGAGCCCAAGAGTTCGTTGATTTCTTTTTCAAGGAATTCCTGCTTTATTTTCTTGTCGCTTTTGAACGGGCTGTGGATACGATTAAGGACACGATCAGAGATGTTTTTAAAGCAAACTCTCGGTTAGGATCCAGATGCAGTTCTGGACAGGGTCTTTTATTGGGATCTAAAGACGGTTCCGAATGCCATTAAGATACGTGCACTCCCATTCACCGCGCTTCTGATCCCTATCCCAACTTGTATTCCGACCCCTGTTCTGAACCCTATCGCTAAGGAAGATGGTCTTTAGGCCCAAAAGCTGAGTCCTTGGAGCCTTGGGGTATCATTCTGACCCCTATTTCGCAGCCTAGTTACGCTTTTTCCGATCCCTGGCACCTGGAACGCCGGCTCCCAGGCAACACAAAGATACCATGCTAAACCTTAGCCTCCGAAGCCCAACCACTTAAAGGATCATGGGACTTGGTAAGTAGGTTATAATTGGGGTTATAAGTCCCCTAAGTGGGGTTATCTTAACTATAGTCTACGTATAACTAACCTTACTTACTAAGTCCCATGAGCCTTTAAGCACGACACCGTGCGTCCTAATGTCCCTAGTTCTTGGTAGCGAATGGGGGAATGGAGCCTATGACGGTCCCATAGAGTCCCTTGCAGAAGTCCAACTAAGAACAAGTCGGTAGTTGAGGTGCCTGGTAGTAATCCCTGCAAGCCTTCGAAGCACTCTAAGCCACAAACTCTGCCTGAACCCTATAAGCCCTACAGCCTAGAAGCCCTAAACTCTTGAATCTCTAGACCCTGCAAGCCATAAGCTGCAAGTAGTACTGGAGGTACCCATTCCGAAACCCGCCTTCGCGGTGATCAGTGCTGGGTTGACGGAGCGTCCGGAGACCCAGTGGGCTGTCACAAGTGTTTGATATTGGGTTGCTAGGATTTAGGGCTTACCCATAGGCCCCAAAGTAGTTCCTTTTGGGGATTACATGATAGGATTCTATATATGAACCCCAAAAAGGAACTACTTTGGGGCCTATAGGCAGGGCCTGGGTTGTTGATAACAATATCGTTTTACATCTCCTGTGTGGCTATGCAAGTACTAGATCCCACACCCCCTGTTCATGAAGGCCCCGCTACATCAGGGTTCAGGGGTTGGGGTTGAGGCTCAGGGAAGGGTGGGGGGGAAGTGGGGGTGGCGGAACAGGGTTAAGGGACTCGTGGATTCGCTGGATTTGAAAGCGTAGGATCTCAAGCGATAAAGGTTTGGGGTTAGGGTTCTGGGACTACAGCGGTTGGGCGTTGGGGATTCGGGATTAGAGTTCTTTCGGGTGGAATCATGCAGAGGCTGCGAAACCCGTGCACGTTCGGAGAGGCCTCCGAGCGAGGGTCCGCGCGGCCGAATGGAAAAACGAGGGTCCGATGAAGCGGGTCGGCGGTATTGGGCATCGTGGCATTTGCTAATGCTAAGCTAGATGGCTCGACTCGCCAAAGCCTCGAACTCACAGGGTGCACACGCTCGAGGACCGAGTTTAGGGTCTTATCCTTAAGCCGCTGATCTTCAGCCCCAAAGCAACGAACCCCCTTGCCCCTAGCACTAGAATCCTTCACCCTCACACCAACCCCCATACCCCTACAATCGAAACCCCGAAACACGTCGACCCTATATCAGCCCCCTAACCTTCAGCCAACCCCAAACCCTCAACGGTTGCTTATTATGATGTATAGCATAATACATCCCAAAACCCTAGTCTAATTATTAAGGCCCCCTATATTAAACCCTAAGCGTTCCTTTTCATAATTCGTGTAACATATCCCAAAACCCTATTCTAATTAGTAAGGCCCTAGTATTAAACCCTAAGCCCCTAATGCCCTAATCCGAAAACTCCAAACTCGAATCTCAGATTGGCGCTCTGCCGTGATGCGAATCCTGAAGAACGAGCTTTGCAGCTGCCCCGGGACCGTGGTGGGTTTGGGGGTTTAGAGGTTTAGGAGTTTAGGGTTTAGAATCTAGAGGTTTGGCTTAGTCGCTGAGTGGATACACTTTACACTTTTTTGGATAATACTGCCTACTCTAAAACTAAACGTGTACACTTTTGGGGGGCTTATGAACTCAACAACTAAGTTAGGGTTTTGGAGGTTTAGGAGTTTAGGGTTTAGGGGTTTAAGGGTTCAGGGGTCGGGGTTTCGGGGTTAGTTACAACTTCTTTCCGAGCAGAGCTTGCTAGGTTTATCCGTTTGAAATCGAATGTCGTTCTGTAATTATTAGAGTGCGAGGACGGGGGTTAAGGGGGGTGGGGGGGAGGGTGGTTGTGAGTTTCCTAAGCAGGGTTTCGGTGACCCTTCGTGCAGTTCTATGGTCCGAAGTTTAGGATTCGAGGAAGGCTCTAGGATGGAGGATTTAGGGTCAAGTGCTTGGTGCTGAACTAGGGTTGTGTTTATCCAGGAGCTTCGGTAGGTAGTAGTAACCCAGGGGCCTCACTGATTCGAATAGGGTTTTGTGGGCGCATTATAGTAAAAATTTAATACGGAAACCCGAAACTAGTATAGGTAATTGTTTAGGCCCCTATATAGTACGATTTTCTACCCTCAGGGCGTTAAAGACCACATGCGTGACATACCGACGCTTGTTTATGTCATCTATGCCGTAGTGTTTGGAGATCCAGACAGCTTCGGGGCTTTTCTAGGGCGTAGGGGCTGCATAGCGGGCTACAGATTTGAGATTAAGTTTCTCCGAGGCCCTAAACCCTATTCTCTTTTCTAGTCTAGCGGGCTGGAGCTTTGAGCTTAAGCTTCCCTAAGGGGATTTCGATTTAGGGTTCCGGTTTTGGGGCTGTGGGTTTAGGACTAAGGGAAGGGCCTCGGGCTGTCTTTTGGATAGAAGCCATGAAGTCCGTTTGAGGGGTTTAGGCTTAGTCATCGAGTTGGGGTCTCGACGCTAAT